CCTCCCCAGTCTTCCGTGTTGGACGACGTGGAACTGGAACTGGAACTCCCCTCCCTCCTCCCCAGTCTTCCGTGTTGGACGACGTGGAACTGGAACTGGAACTGTTCCACCCGCCCGGGGCACACTCTGCCACCGGGAGCACCACCAACACCGCCTTGACCGCCACAATCACCACCAAGACCACCTAGACCGCGGAGACCACCAAGACCGGACCACCAAGGCCACCGGGACCACCAAGACCACAAAGAGCACCACCAACACCGCCTAGACCGCCACAATCACCACAAGACCACCTAGACCACCACCACCAAGGCCAGCAGGACCTCCAAGACCACCACCAACACCCCACATAATAGATCGTGTATTCGAGCTCAGTACCAAATAAATTCTGCCGCAAATATGTAATTAAGCTGACCGTATATTCAAAAAGTATATACATTCCGTGTGTTTAAATAACAGCCGGGCTGGCAAAAGCCTTGCCGGACTTAGTCTAAAATACCTGTTCACTTGTTTCAAAAATCGTACACTTAAAGAAGCGATACCGTACTAGCCGCCAATAGCTGGACACTGGATAGCTCACGTTAATGCTTTGGTTTCTTTATTTTTAGTGAAACTAACTCCAAAATGATAACATCCTTGGAGTGGTATGGGTAAGGTGTTAGTGGAGAAACAACATTGCCCGGAGGGTGGTCTTACTTCCGACAAGTTTGGTTCAGAGTGTGTGTGTGCGTGTGTGCGCGTGTGGTTAAGCACATGCTGTCAAATGGTGCGACTGTTTTGTTAATGCCGAATGTTTGCTTGATGATTGATTCTATATCAAGATGTTTTTGGGGAGTAAGACATTGTTAAACCTAGCCATTCGGGGTGCTTAGTTTCACCACTGGGAGCCTTTGGACTCATCACAGACCTTTGAAGACGTTTGTAAGAAAAACCTAATACCCTGCTAGGCACTGTCCCCTGAAACGAAATGACCACCCAGCGAAGGGGTAAGTTCACGTGGCATTCTTCGACACTGTCGCAGTCACGAGATGAAAATATATCAACAACTGCTATTCCGAACTGGAACCTGCAGGCAGGGTACCTTGCTCGTTCCCCAGTACGGATGAATGGGCAGATTAATTGATGCAACAGACCATTGCCAAGGAATAGAACCTTGCGGAGAAGTGGCAAACATTTTCCTACCAACTCTGCCTCTGTTTTTGGCAGCTATCGATTTGCTTTAGACCGTGAGTTGGTGCAAATGAGGACTGACGGGTAGCAGCGATTTTAATCAACCGTCCGTGATGTGTTTGCAAAGATTTGGGCCAATACACGTGTAAAATGATTGCTCAGAATCCTAACTTTGTTCCATATTTGCCAAACGTGTAGGATGGTGTGAGTCTCATTTGTTGAAAATGCAACAGGTTTAACAACATGAATAACTTTATTGTCATGCAGTACTTGCATAGCTGCAGGAAAGCCGTGTTTGAGAAGCATCACTTTGAAATCCACAACATCTCTGTCACTTCTAACTGTGTCTTGCAGTGGCAGTTCAGAAATAGCCATAGGTCATAGGCTTGCTGCTTGCTTCGTGTTTTATTCTTGCTCAGAGCTTCTACTGGCCACAGAAGCATTTCATGCCTTCAAGTTTGTTAGCTTCACTACAGTCCATGACAGTCCCATTATAACCTACCTTCTGTTTATTGCTAAAGTGGTCGAGTGATTATGAAGTGTATGATGTAATGATATGGATCATGTTTGATCATGGTTATGCACGGAAAGACACCAACACAATTGCATCTTATTGTCCCAGGCCTGGTTCCTTTTGGTCCACTGGCGGACGCCTTTCATTTGTTTGATGCCTGGGATGGCTTGGCCACTTGAGTGCAAAAGAGCTGAAACTATGTGGCGATTCTTGCAAAACCATGCACGACCCAAGTGTTCAACGGCTTCAGCCAACAAACAGCAAATCAGCAAAAAACAAACAAAGCAATATGCATTTGCCAAGTTCTTTGAATGCTGCACAAGTTACAGTAAGCATGTTAGGTGATCAACGAGCTTGCCTACAGCCTTCGAAGTCGCGGATATTTGGAGCGTTTGGATGGTGCAGAATCTGTGGTCGAAGTGTGGGCATGGTCAGCGGATCAGGTGATGCATCACAACCGCAGATGCTACAGCATGTCACATGCAGCGTGCGGTACAGCACACAGCAAAGTAAATGCGCATCGAAGCCCCATCAAGGGTGCTTACAAGTAGATGTTGCCATGTGTGAAGCACTGGTTTTAAGTTTTAAGTGATTTCAATATGTCACAGAATCAGCTGTCCTGCTGACCCCATTGAGGTGGAATCGCCTCTTCAGGCATCATTTCTTGGTTGCCTTTTTAGGAAGATCATGCCACTTGGGCATGGCATAAGCGATTTCTTTCTTTAGGGGCTCGGGAGAACCAGTGAAAGAAACAAGCTAGAAGAAGCTTCGCTACAGAGCTGCTCAAATCCGAGGATTCTACTGAGTGCAGTCATGTCCTTTTGCCTCATCTCCGCAATAACTGGACTCTTCATTCGCATCGCTGTCCATGGATCAGCAGTGTACCTCGATCTTTGACTTCACACTCGTTACTAGTAGCTTCTCATTACTAGTAGTGCCAGGAGCTACTAGTAGCTTCTTGCTTCTAGTAGCCATGCCCTTTGCTACTAGTAGTGCCAGGAGCTACTAGTAGCTTCTTGCTTCTAGTAGCGATGCCCTTTGATACTAGTACCTTCTTGTTCCTAATAGTAATGCCAGGAGCTACTAGTAGCTTCTTGATTCTAGTCGCGATGCCCTTTGTTACTAGTAGCTTCTTGTTAGGAGTAGTAATGCCAGGAGCTACTAGTAGCTTCTTGCTCCTAGTAGCGATGCCCTTTGTTACT